CACTACAGTTAACTAGCCTACATATCCTCGTAATACTTTGGACGTCCTTACAATATTATTTATTTGTAACATCTACCTTGAATAGCTCTTGGGCCTACTGAACAATAGTAAAAAATAAATAAATAAATAATAGAATACAAGTTTCGTGCGTCAGGATTTTCGTTTTCTTTTGTGGGTCCGAAACTTTCTGGCTTCAGTGTTGAAATCAGATGAAATTATGCTCACTATTTACGGCCAAGTAAGCTGAGATTAGAATTATCGTCGACCAAATGAAGACTTCATCCTTTAGCGTTCGTAGTATGAAGTGCATGATGGTGCCGAAGAAATTTCCTGATGAATAAATGAAGCAAACCTTTTTGTATATTGCTAACTTCTTCCAGGAAAAGAAAAGAAAATAAGTGAAAAAGAAAACCTCCGTTTTCCCTCCGTGAATTTCATACAAATGACATTTGTCTTTAAGCTTTTTATCTCCTAATTAAGCAAGTAACTTTTGTAATCTCATCCTGCTCAATTCCTTAAATGTCAAATATCAAATACCTGAATTCTGTTCGGCGAATTTCACTTGAGTAATTTGAGAATTCAAGCAAATGAACTCATTAAAAACTTGTAAGAAAACTTGTAAAAAAACTTGTAAAATTTAAAAACTTGTAACGCCGTTATGAAATCTACTTTTCTACATTTCTATATTTCTGAGATGAGATATTTTAATTATTTGCACTATTCGCATTGTTAGAACTGTTGTCCTCATCTTCGTTGCAATATTCACGACATTTCGGCGTTGTAGGCACTGGCCTTCTTCAGGATTTGTCTATATTTCTGAAATGAGGTATTGTTACTATTTACATTGTTCCAACTGTTCTCCTTATCTTCATTGCCATATTCACGACATTTCGGCCATTGTAGGCACCGGCCTTCTTCAGGTTTTGTCTATATTACTGAGATGAGGATTGTAACTATTTACATTCTTCTGACTGTTTTACTCATATTCGTTGCGATATTCACGACATTTCGGCCGTTGTAGATGCCGGCCTTCTTCAGGATTTGTCTATATTGCTGAGATGAGGTATTGTAACTATTTACATTCTTCCGACTGTTTTCCTCATCTTCTTTGCCACACTCACGACGTTTTTTGCCCTTGTACGCTCCGACCCAAAAGCCGTAAGCATGCCAACAAAGATGAGAACATCAATCCGAACAGTGTGAATAATGTAAATGATACCGAATGGAAATAATTCATTTCGCTTTTAATTTTGCCCTTAATTTGTTTTATCATTTCACACCAAACCAGGCCATAATGTCACTAGAACGCAGGGAGTGAAAGTGAATGAGAAGGCATTAGTGAAATGAAGTGAGGAGAAGAACAATGAAGGAACAAGATTCATGAACAAAGATGGCGGTTGACGTTTTAATTAAACTTTTGAGGATTGTAGTTGACAGAGAAGCAAGAAATCGGAAGGGAGATAAAAGAGAAAAGAAACTATTAGGATAGAACTGACAGATGCACCTAGCTATTTCAACAGTAAAGCTATTTGCAGACTTAAATACAGGCGGGCGAGGTAGTAAAGAGAACAGCAGGAGTAAGTCCTGATTTTATGTCATTTACCAGATGTTTATAGTACGTGCCTCTTGAATGACTTATGTAGTCAACATACCAAAAAGAAATCCTCTTAATTTATTAATTTACAAAACACTTTCATTGATTATAAAACTAGTAGTGATAACTCCAACCTAAATATATGCAATTTAGCTCTGGCTTAGTTTTTAAAATAACCAAAAACTTTCCCAGTTACTACTATAACATTCGTTTGAATTCATTCCTCATTCCTCTTTTATCATATTACTATCTCCTATTCTCCCCTTTCCTCAGCCATTCCTCACTCTAAGAAGGCTTGGAGAAACTTAAAAACCTTAACCGTTGTTGTCGAAAAGAAAATTTTCAGGTCCTAGCCATCACTTTAACACCTGAATTATTCTTCACCAAACTGCTATCAACAAGCATTTTTGTTTGACTCCGTTACCTTTATGCCTTTTATAATTACTCATATTATTTACATTATTCGGACTGTTATCCTCATCTTCATTGCCCTATTCACAACGTTTCGGCTGATGGACGACCAGGCCTTATTCAGGATCTCTCAAATCTCTGAAATGATGTATTGTGAATATTTATATTATTTACAATATTCGGACTGTTATCCTCATCTTCATTGCCCTATTCACAACGTTTCGGCTGATGTACGACCAGGCCTTATTCAGGATCTCTCTATATCTCTGAAATGATATATTGTGAATATTTATATTTTTTCTTCATTGCCCTATTCATTATTCGGACTGTTATCCTCATCTTCATTGCCCCTATTCACAACGTTTCGGCAGATGTACGACCAGGCCTTATTCAGGATCTCTATATCTCTGAAATGATATATTTTATATTTTTTACATTATTCGAATATTTATTTTTTTTTACATTATTCTATATCTCTGACTATTATCCTCATCTTCATTGCCCTATTCACAACGTTTCGGCTGATGTACGACCAGGCCTTATTCAGGATCTCTCTATATCTCTGAAATGATGTATTGTGAATATTTATATTATTTACAATATTCGGACTGTTATCCTCATCTTCATTGCCCTATTCACAACGTTTCGGCAGATGTACGACCAGGCCTTATTCAGGATCTCTCTATATATCTCTGAAATGATATATTGTGAATATTTATATTTTTACATTATTCGGACTTTATCCTCATCTTCATTTTTCGACCAGGCCTTATTCAGGATTATCTTCGGAATATTTATATTTTTACATTATTCGTTTATCCTCATCTTCATTGCCCTATTCACAACGTTTCGGCTGATGTACGACCAGGCCTTATTCAGGATCTCTCTATATCTCTGAAATGATATATTGTGAATATTTATATTTTTTACATTATTCGGACTGTTATCCTCATCTTCATTGCCCTATTCACAACGTTTCGGCTGATGTACGACCAGGCCTTATTCAGGATCTCTCTATATCTCTGAAATGATATATTGTGAATATTTATATTTTTTACATTATTCGGACCAGGTTATCCTCATCTTCATTGAAATATTCACAACGTTTCATATGATTTACAATACGTTACCATCTTCATTGCCTTATTGTAATGACCAGATCTCTTCAGGATCTCTCTGAAATGATATATTTTGAATATTTATATTTTTTACATTATTCGGACTGTTATCCTCATCTTCATTGCCCTATTCACAACGTTTCGGCTGATGTACGACCAGGCCTTATTCAGGATCTCTCAAATCTCTGAAATGATGTATTGTGAATATTTATATTATTTTACATATTATTTTCACAATATTCGGACTTATTATCCTCATCTTCATTTATTCCCTATTCACAACGTTTCGGCTGATGTATGACCAGGCCTTATTCAGGATCTCTCTATATCTCTGAAATGATGTATTGTGAATATTTATATTATTTACAATATTCGGACTGTTATCCTCATCTTCATTGCCCTATTCACAACGTTTCGGCAGATGTACGACCAGGCCTTATTCAGGATCTCTCTATATCTCTGAAATGATATATTGTGAATATTTATATTTTTTACATTATTCGGACTGTTATCCTCATCTTTATTGCCCTATTCACAACATTTCCCCGGCTGATGTACGTTATACAGGATCTGAAATGATGTATTGTGAATATTTATATTATTTACAATATTCGGACTGTTATCCTCATCTTCATTGCCCTATTCATTTCGGCTGATGGATTCAGGATCTCTATATCTCTGAAATGATGAGGTATTTATATTATTTGCAATATTCGGATTATCCTCATCTTATTGCCCTATTCACAACGTTTCGGCAGATGTACGACCAGGCCTTATTCTCTCTATATCTCTGAAATGATATATTGTGAATTTTTTTACATTATTCGGATTATCCTCATCTTCATTGCCCTATTCACAACGTTTCGGCTGATTGTTTCAGGATCTCTATATATCTGAGGTATTATGATTGCCCATTACTTACATTATTCGGACTGTTATCCTCATCTTCATTACCATATTGACAATGTTTCAGCCTCTATATATCTGTGACGAGGTATTAAGATTACTTGCATTATTTAAATTATTCGGACTGTTATCCTCAACTTCATTGCCATATTCACAACGTTTCGGCTGAAGTACAAGCAGGCCTTATTCTGGATCTGTCTATATCTCTGAAATGATGTATTGTGAATACTTATATTATTTACATTATTCGGACTGTTATCCTCATCTTCATTGCCATATTCACAACGTTTCGGCTGATATACACCCAGGCTATTCAGGATCTGTCTATATTTCTGAGTTGAGGTATTATGTTTACTTATATTATTTACATTATTCGGACTGTTATCCTCATCTTCATTTCTATACTCACAACGTTTCGGCTGATATACGTCTAATAGATATAGGCAAATCCTGAATAATCAGGATTTGTATATATCTGTTAGACAAGGTATTATGATTACTTACATTATTTAAATTTTTCGGACTGTTATCATCTTTTTCAGTGCCGTATTCACAACGTTTATTTTTATTGCCAAACAAATGGAAAAAAAAGGAAGTGACGGTTGTCATGCGGCTTGCCTCCAAACTATTTTGGTTCTCACCAGTCGAGGTGCAATTAAATGCACTGAAACGAAGTTCCATCTTTGTAGTGAGTAAATTATTTTTGTCTATACGAAAAAAATATAATAAAAAATAAATAAAAGTTTTGCTAAGTAAAAACCGCAGGCATCAGGCCATGTCCCTGACTATATTCCTCTCAGTGAAATACGGGGAGATTATGATAGTTACAGCCACACAGGCTAGAAATTATTCTTGTTTGTTACAAGGTCAAAATACCGAAAAATTCTTTGTAGCCATCAAAGAAAAAATTCTTTTTCTTGCCAGTCACTCAAGGACTAGATTGAAATCCGACGGTCTCTGCTTCTGACTGGATGTCTAAGATATTCCTTTGGTCGTTGGCCAAATATGTGAATCGGTACGAGAAGCTGGGTGGTGTCCGGCTGTAGGCGCAAAAACGAAGAGACGGCTTCAATCAGCTGACTCGAACCAAAATCTGTAAACACTTGGCAAAAGAAATGACGGGGGCATTTTCGTTTTCTTGCGTCGATTTTGCAATTTTCTTGAAAGCCAAACCTTACTACTCCGCCTAACACATCAACACACAATAGAGTGGCATATATATATATATATATATATATATATATATATATATATATATATATATATATATATATATATAAGCAGACTGATAGATAGATAGATAGATAGATATGAACAAACTGAGATCGATAGAAATTAACAGATAGACATAGAGAAATATGAAAATAGACACACACACACACACACACACACACACATATATATATATATATATATATATATATATATATATATATATATGCATATCTTCATTCAAGCATATTTGGTTCAATAGTTTAGAGGTATTATGTCTATTTATTGTATTTTAATGCTTTCAAGTACACGGATTAATTTCCTTGTGCTGAGATGAGGTATAATGTTTACTTACATTATTCTGACAGTTATCCTCATCTTTATTGCCATATTCACAACGTTTCGGCCGTTGTATTCTCCGGCCTTATTCAAAATTTGTCTATATCTCTGAAATGAGGTATTATGATTACTTACATTATTTATATTATTCGCACTGTTATCATCATCTTCATTGCCATATTCACTACGTTTCGGCCGTTGGGCGCTCCGGCCTTCTTCGGGTGATTGAAATTTCAAACCGAACCTTTTATTTCATCCACCGGGTACATTGTTTTGGTACCACGTGGCATGTCTCTTCCCGATGTCGCAGTTATTTCCTTTCAGCACATCGCTCAGGTTGGTTACCAGGTCACAGCAGAGGTGAACCAAAACTTGGAGAGTTGATAAAGTGAAATAAGTGAGAAATCACGGAAGAGGCATGGCATGTGGAACTAGAACAATCTACACGTGGTGGATGAAATATTGTGTTCGGTTCGAAATTCCAACCACCGGAAAAAGGTCGGATCGAAACGTTGTGAATACGGCACGGAAGTTGAGGATAACAGTCTGAATAATGTAATTAATATGACTAATCATAATACCTCGTCTAATAAATATAGACAAGTCCTGAATAGGGCCGAGATGTATATGAGCCGAAACGTTGTGAATATGAAGATGTGGATAACAGTCCGAATAATGTAAATAATATAAGTAATCGTAATACATCAGTGATGTAAACAGATCCTGAGTAAGGCCGGGGCGTATATCAGCCGAAACGTTGTGAATATGGCAATGAAGATGAGGATAACAGCCCGAATAATGTAATTAATATGACAAATCATAATACCTCGTCTAATAAAGATAGACAAATCCTGAATAAGGCCGGGACGTATATCAGCCGAAACGTTGTGAGTATAGAAATGAAGATGAGGCTAACAGCCCGAATAATGTAAATAATGTAAGTAATCATAATACCTCATCTCAGAGATATAGACAGATCCTGAGTAAGGCCGGGGCGTATATCAGCCGAAACGTTGTGAGTATAGAAATGAAGATGTGCATAACAGTCTGAATAATGTAAGTAATCATAATACCGCATCTGAAAGATATAGACAAATCCTGAGTAAGGCCGTGGCGTATATCAGCCGAAACGTTGTGAATAGGGTAATGAAGATGAGGATAATAGTCCGAATGTGAGTACTGAGTGGTAATGTCTACCAACTGCTGTCGGCTGTAGAATATATAATAACATGTCTTAACGTGTATCTGGTGCATCTTTTTTGATTTGCAATGATGTTCACCCTCAATAAGGCCCAAGAATCGAAGAGAGTTACAGAATAAGAAGCACGGTTTATGGAGATACGTGGGGAAGAATACAAACATGTTATGTAGTAATCGGGAAAGCACCCTCTTGGGAGTCGGTTCCAAAAGGCAGCAGTTCGTTACAGAATTATGGGCAGGGTTTTTTAAGGGATATGTTGGGAAGATAATGGTTGACCCTAGACGTGAACAGGTTAAGAGTGTAGTGACTGAGAAAGCACCCTCTTGGGAATCGGTTCGACAAAGCAGCAATTCGTCACAGAATAAGAGTCACATTTTATGGGGATATATGCGGAACATAACGGCTGACCCTAGACATGGACAGATTAAGAGTGTAGTGATCGAGAAAGCACCCTCTTGGGAGTCGGTTCTACAAAGCAGCAATTCGTTACAGAATAAGAGTCACATTTTATGAGGATATATGGGGAAGATAACGGTTGATCCCCTGACGTGAAGAGGTTAAGAGTATAGTGATCGAGAAAGCATTCCCTTGGGAGTCGGTTCCACAAAACACCGTTTCGTGGGGTGAAGCTGCTCGAGTGGAATTTACGCCCAAACAATGGAATAGGAAGGGAATGAGGATGGTTCGCTAGCCATGAAGGATAGAACTACCGGAAGTAAAGAATGTAGTTCATCTGAGCACTTTCCATAGAAGCGATAGAGCAGCAACGTCCTTGAGATGTACGTCTGTGGGAAAGGGTTTGTAAGGTGAAATAATTCATGCCCTACAAGGACGCGGAGACACATTTGGATTCTATCGATGCTGGAAAGTGAGAACTGGGCTGATCCTGTCTATATTTGGCAACAGTTCTCCATTTGTCATGATCTGGCCCTTGCAAAGGCAAAGGATAGCAGGATATATTCCTGGGCATTAAAATCTTAACCAAAACGACCAATGCCTTCCGTTACTCAATCGCTATTTCCACAGATCTAACCAACGTCTTTATCCGCTGAAGATTCCAATCACCTGAAGAAGGCCGGAGCATACAACGGCCGAAACATTGTGAATATGACAATGAAAATGAGGATAATAGTACGAATATTGCTAATAATGTAAGTAATCCAAATACTTCATCTCAGAGGTATATAGATGTTTTCTTTTTATCACTAATTACTTCCTGTGTATATATGTCGCCATTAGCTTTTCTTTGACATTCTCTGCATTAATAACAATATCTGTGTGATCCATTGATTCTTATTCCCATATAAGCTTTTGATTTGATCAATATATTCCACTTTTGCGGTTGCTTCATCATCATTTTCTATTGGACTCCAAAATCTACAAAGTACTTGTTTTACTCTTATACTTTCTGTTGTTGCTTAAACGCATTCTAATATCTTTTGCAACCCCCTTAATTGGTAAGTTTCTTTAGTATTTGACTTCATCTCCATTAACAACATCGGACTCATATATCACATTCTTTATCAAACACTCTCTGTCAATTGAACACGTTTCCTTAATTCGGCTGTTATAGCTTTTCACCTCCCTCTATCCATCCTCTTTCAGTAGCCTGTTATAGTAATTTGCTTACCAACGTCCTCATATTATTTAGTAAAACTGTAGCTGACCTTCAAATTATTTCTGTTGCATAATTTTCTTAATAGTGACGATTCTCTGAAATGCCATTTAATTAAGCTCAAATATTTCTGCTATATAGAATGTTGAACTGTACAACATATAACACTCATACACACACACACACACACACACACACATATATATATATATATATATATATATATATATATATATATGAATTAAGACATTTTATGTTTATACATTCTTTTTATAGATACAAATATTTAAGTAAATTCTCTGTTTATAATAAACAGTATTAAACAACATTTATCGGCCTGAATGTCCGAGAAATTTTCACAGAAAATATTCGTCCTTTCGACAAGATTCGAAACTGTATCATATGTGAAACTGTGACGTGCCATTACCGGTTTAGCCACATAGGCGCATTCAGTTATATATATATATATATATATATATATATATATATATATATATATATATATATATGTCATCCACAGATAGACTGTTTCGCTGTATCACAGCTCATCAGTATGGCTAGAAGTCCGGTTTCCTCTAGCTAGGATATATATATATATATATATATATATATGTGTGTGTGTGTGTGTGTGTGTGTGTGTGTGTGTGTGTGTTGTGTGTGTGTGTGTTTGTTATTGTTTCAAGTTGAAGGAGAAGGACGCGCAAGCATGTATGTCTTTGGTTGTGGGAGGGGTTGAAGTCGTTGAGTTAATTTAATTCCAAATTACTTCGAAATAGTCTGTGTTTACTTGAGGGCAGAGACCTAATAATTCTGACTTGTGCTTCAAAAGTTTATAAATATTTATTTCGTTTTTTCTTTCTCTATCCTCTTCCATTATTCATACTTTCATCTTTTTATTTCTTTCATTCTTTCCATCTTTCTTTCATTCATACCTTCCAATTTTAAACTTTTTTTTATCCCCTTAATTAAGTTGCTTCTGTTTACAATATTTTTTCACATATTTTAATTTGCATTCCTGTTTGATTCTTCTCTTTCTTTCATTCTTCCATCCTTTCTCTTTTTCTTCCTTCTATTCTTCCTTTCTTTCTCTTATTCTTTCTTTCTTTCTTTTTTCATTCTATTCTTCCTTTCATTATCCTATTCTTTCTTTCTTCCTTTCTTTCTTCTATTCTTTCCTTTATTCACCTATTCCTTCTTTCTTTTTTCCATCTATTCTTCCTTCCATTGTTTCTCCCTTTCTTTCTTTCTTTCTTTCTTTCTTTCTTTCTTCTATTCTTCCTTTCATTTTTGCTTCCATCCTTTCTTTCTTTCTTTCTTTCTTTCTTTCTTTCTTCTATTCTTCCTTTCATTCTTCCTTCCTTCCTTCATTTCTTTTCTTCTTTCTTCCTTCTATCCTTCCTTTCTTTCATTCTTCCTTCTATTACTTTCTTCACCTATTCTTTCTTTCCTTCTTCCTTCCTTCTATTCTTCCTTTCTTCTATTCTTCTGTCTTTCTTCCTTCTTCCTTTCTTTCTCTCTTTCTTTCTTTCTTTTTTCATTCTATTCTTCATTTCATTATTCTATTCTTTCTTTCTTCCTTTCTTTCTTCTATTCTTTCCTTTATTCACCTATTCCTTCTTTCTTTTTTCCATCTATTCTTCCTTCGTTTCTCCCTTTCTTTCTTTCTTTCTTTCTTTCTTTCTTCTATTCTTCCTTTCATTCTTCCTTCCTTCCTTCCTTCCTTCTTTCCTTCCTACCTTCCTTCCTTTCTTTTCTTCTTTCTTCCTTCCTATCCTTCCTTTCTTTCATTCTTCCTTCTATTACTTTCTTCTCCTATTCTTTCTTTCCTTCTTCCTTCCTTCTATTCTTCCTTTCTTCTATTCTTCCTTCCTTCTATTCGTCTGTCTTTCTTCCTTCTTCCTTTCTTTCTCTCTTTCTTTCTCTCTGTTTTCCTTCTATTCTTCCATTCTTTTTTTCCTTCCATCTATTCTACCTTTCTTTCTTTTTTCTTTCTTCCTTCCTTCTACTCTGTCGATTCTTTATACGCCCTTTCTTTCTTTTTTTCTCTTCTATTCTTCTTATCTTTCGTTCTTCCTTCTACTCTTCCATTTTTACTTCTTTTTTTTTTCTATTAAAACTTTTTTTCTTTCTATTCTTCTTTTCTTTATCCTTCCTTCTGTTATTCCTTTCTTTCTTTTTTCCATTATTCCTTTTTCTTTTTTCCTTCTATTCTTCCTTTCTTTCTTCCTCGCGCCATTTCTTTCTTTCTTTCTTTCTTTCTTTCTTTCTCCCGTCATTTCTCTCTTTATTTAGTGCTATTTATTTGTGTCTTTTTTATTCGTTCTTTTCACGCTTTTAAACAAACAAAACATCACGGCCGACATTGGCAGAACAAGGGAAAATATTCTCGAAATAAACAAGTCATGTTGATTTTTTTTTTACAATCACATTGTTTAAACGAATCAAAATTGTCGATTTAAAAATGTCCTTTAAATCAATTCTTTTTTCTTCCATAAATGTGCATGCTATTGAGAGCTATCAAGGACACATTCATTTCAAAACTCTTCATTAGCACTCACTTCTTCAATACATACATTCATATATATATATATATATATATATATATATATATATATATATATATATATATATATATATTGTTGTTATTATTATTATTATTTATATTGTTATTATTTTAGAAGCCATACGCCAAAAATATAACGATAGAGTAAGAATATACGAAGCTCGACACAGCCATTCTCATAATGGCAAATTATTATTATTATTATTATTATTATTATTATTATTACTATTATTATTATTATTATATCTCGATTTCTGATATAGTGACACTATCTACCAAGTCTGTGGGAAGACCTAAGGAAGGTAGTTGTGTGTTGTTATGGCTACATTTCATGATTTGTTTTTCTAAATCCTTTAACATCACTAGACGTTACATGGAGAAAGTTTTTGTTAGTGTTTGGGCCGTACTTATCAAGACATTTTTTTTGTATTTCTCTTAAGCTGGGTTTTTTAGGGATTTTTTCAATGTGTTGTTGTGTTTCTTTTTTTATCATTCCAAGCGCACCTAATACGACTGGTACTATTCTTGTTTTCAATTTCCAAATTTTTTTCTATTTTGATTTTTATGTCTTTATACTTCGATAGTTTTTCAAATTCCTTACTTGCTATGTTACAATTCGCTAAACATCAAAAATAAAACAATCTATGATCACACACGTTTTACATGGACAAAGCCATTCGTAAGGTGTGAGTTGTACTTCTTAAAACAATATCTTGTATTTCTTTAAGACAGGGGCTAGTAAGGATCCCTTCAATGTGTCTCTCAGGACGTTTCCCCATCACACTCAGGGACCCAAGTACAATTGGAATTATTGATGTCTTCATATGCCTCTTCTTTTTAGATTTCCACACCAAGGTCCTTGTATTTTGATAGTTTTTTGGAGTTCATTATTTTATTTCCTTTGATTTCTGATGTGTACTCATTTCTTTCCGAGTCCCACCCAAGGACCTAAGGTTAAAAATGGCATCATGGCATTTTCCACTGGAAAAAAAATTGCATAGACAAAGCCCTTCCTATGGTGTGGGCTGTACTTGTGTGAACACTTTTTTTGTATTTCTTTAAGGCATGGGCTTCAAGGGATTAGTCTACTGGAATGATTTCCAACCTTTCCGAGGGCTCCAACTACAACGGGGTTTGTACATATTATTATTATTATTATTTATTAATTTTTTTTTTTTTTTTTTTTTTTTTTTTGTATATGCATTTCTTACTTGGCCCAGCCAGAGATCTGAGGTCAGAAATGACATCATGATGTTTTCCATTGTAAATTTTGTAAAGAAATAAACATAAAACAATTTAAGATCACATACTTTTAACATGGACAAAGCCATTCGTAAGGTGTGAGTTGTACTTCTTAAAACAATATCTTGTATTTCTTTAAGACAGGGGCTAGTAGGGATCTCTTCAATGAGTGTATCGCAACGTTTTTTCAATCAAACCGATGTCGTCAACTTCCAGTAGATTTACTGATTTTTTTCGTTCATTACCAATCTTCGTTTCATTATTCGATTTAGTAACTTTCCCTAAGTTACAAATACAACCAATGACCTAAACTCAGAAATGGCTTCATGACATTTTTCACTTATTAACTAAGATCATACACATTTTGCACAGATAAACCTTCTCGTAATATGTGAACTCTACTCGTGAGTACAATTTTTTTATCTCTTTAACGCCTGGGCTACCAGGAATCTCTTCAGTGAGTCTATCGGGCCCTTTTTCAATCAATCCGAGGGCTCCAACTGGAATTATGGATTTCTTCATGTGCTACATGTTTTTAGAGTTCCACTTCAAGGTTCTTTTATTTTGATATTTTTGTTTGAAGAACTTCAAAGATACTTTGCAGTCTGCAGGCACTGCCATGTCAATAAAGAGGCACATTCTGATTTGTCGTCTTTCTTCACGATGTCTGGGAGATTAGATTTAATTTTTTGATTGTTCTGTCTGTGTGTATTGTAAAGTCCCATGAAATAGTTACAAATCCTAGTTATGTAACTGGAGTGATGTTCATACCAGTTTCTTGCAGTTTGTTTTCCGTAAAAGTTGCATATTTTCCAGTGCATATATTGGCCGACTCTATCAAGCACAGTTTTATATTCAGTTGGTGATAACAATGTGCAACATGATACATGATGCTCAACTGTTTCTGGATATTTATCACAGAATCTGCATTTCGGGTTAAGACAATTTTTTAGTATGCGTGCTTTCTAATTTTCCTATTATTTAGGGGAATACCAGGTGCTGTAAGGTTGGATATGCGGGTCTAATGGATAATGGAAATTTTAACTGGAGACCCGTGTTCCAATTTCAGTTGGAATTCCTTATATTCAGTTACGCTCATATTGAGAAAGACACGATTCTAATGGTGATTACGAAGGTGTTTGGGGTGATCACTAGGGATATCCTTCCATTTATCTTTTCCCAGGACCTCAGATTTGGAGGCTGACATCAAGTGCCTTGTTGAGGTAGTGCTGTCCTGGGTCAAGAGTGTGGCTGCTGAAAGACCTTATATCTGCCAACACGACTCTGCACCATGTCACACAAGCAGTAGAATCCAGTCATGATTGTCAGACACTTTCTGCGACCGCATCACACCTTACATCGGGTTACCTAACTCCCCAGGCTTCAACATTTTTTTATGTGTGGGCACAGTTAAGCAAGAGATCAACAAAACTCCTTGTAACGCTACAAATGAACTGAAGGCAAGGATTATGGCAGCATTCACCAACTTAAACAAAGTGACCGTCCAGGAGAGTTGCAGGAGATTCCGAAGTCGTTCGGAGGCCAATGGCAATTTTATTGAATAAATTTATTCTTTAGTCTTTTAATTTATGTTTATTTAATTTTGGTAAATATATATGTTAAAATGAGATGTCAGTGCCGTTTTCAGTTTTGCGTCATTTAGACGACAATTTATCCATCGCATCCTTCAAATTTATTAAAATGAGGTGTCAGTGCCGTTTTCAGTTTTGCGTCATTTAGACGACAATTTATCCATCGCATCCTTTAAATCTTTTAAAATGTGATGTCAGTGGCATTTTCATTTTTGTGCCGTTTGGACGACAATTTATTCATCGCAAAATTTATATCTGTAAAAATGAGATGTCAGTGCCGTTTTCATTTTTGCACCATTTGACGATAATTTATCCATCGCACCGTGTATATATGTTAAATTGAGATGTCAGTGTCGTTTTAATTTTGGCGCCATTTAGGCGATAATTCGTCCATCGCATCCTTTAAATCTTTTAAAATGAGATGTCAGTGCCATTTTCATTTTTGCCCCATTTGGGCGACAATTTATCCATCGCAAAATTTATATCTGTTAAAATGAGATGTCAGTGCCGTTTTCAGTTTTGCGTCATTTAGACGACAATTTATCCATCGAACCCTGTAATTTCTTAACGCCTGGAATCGGTCTTCTTTCAAATCCTTTCAGTTTCTTGATGCTATCGCTCCTTATTTATGATTCCATCATCTTAAAATCGAAGGAACATACATTTCTCGGAGATTTCCAGATTGGGTTGAAGTGAGTTTCCTTTCCTTTTCTCCCCAAATAAACACAATTTCTTTAAAGACGAAGAAACAAATCTCTTCCCAGCGTCTGTGCTGTCATCACTGATTGATTCGCATCGGATTTATTACAAAACGCACATCCGTTTAAAGGCAACTACATTTGACACTTTAAAAAAAAACTTATACAGCCAAATGTTTATGTATCAATAGATTAGGATTTATATAAAAAAAAAAAAAAAAAAGCGTCCATCAAATTTTTGACAGGCTCTAACGATTGAGACAGCAAATTCTGCGGATAGGAAGAAACGGCTTTACTGTTCATTGCCTTTAAGACCAATATGTTTTGACATTTTTTCTTGGAATCAGAAAGCGATAGATGGAAACTCATTGACACATAATGAGAAAGCAGTGTTTGGAAATTTTGACTCTCATAGCACATATCGAAGGTCAAATGGACTGGGTGAGGGATTGGCTCACCTACCCGACGAGATGTTTTTCAAAACCAAAGCAATCTATTAAGAAACAGGAGATTTTCGTTAGAAAACAGTTCTGAAAAGTTGTTTAATACGAACCTTGTTAAATGGCAGTGGTTGTTTTCTAAACGTAGCTTAGATGTGGTACAAGGCCGAAAGTATGGGGCACCCAGCTTGCTATATGGCAGCGTATACTAGACAGTTTCCTCACACGTATATTTTCCCCAAGAGGACACTTGAGGCTACAGAGATGTGGTTCTACTGAAGGATGTTTTGAATACGATAGACTGAACATGTGAACAACGAAGTTTTAAAGAAAAAGGAAAACAAAAACGGATTAGAATCAAAGTGACTGGCAAAAAAAATTTCTAGGATACAAAAATGAGGAAAGACGGCTTGAAGAATTGGCCACTCACGGGACATATCGAATGCAAAAGGGGCAATCGTAGCGTATGAATTATTTTACCCTGTACAAGACCCAATAATGTATAGAATTCCATCGATAATGATTTATCATAGAAATCTATTGCAAATGTTTTATTATAGAAATATATTGCTAATATTTTATTATAGAAATCTATTGCTAATGTTTTATTATAGAAATATATTGCTAATATTTTATTATAGAAATCTATTGCTAATGTTTTATTATAAAAATATTTTGCTAATGTTTTATTATAGAAATATATTGCTAATATTTTATTATAGGAATCTATTGTTAATGCTTTATTATAGTAATCTATTGCTAATGTTTTATTATAGAAATATAGTGCTAATATTTTATTACAGAAATATATTGCTAATATTTTATTATAGAAATATATTGCTAATGTTTTATTATAGAAATATATTGCTAATATTTTATTATAGAAATCTATTGCTAATGTTTTATTATAGAATTATATTGCTAATGTTTTATTATAGTACTACATTGATGATATTTTAGTATAGGAATGCATTGATAATGTTTCATTATAGGAATGCGTTGGTAATGTTTTATTATACCGATGCATCGATTTTTTTTTATTATAGAATTGCATCGAAAATGTTTTATTGCAGAAATGTTTTGCTAATGATTTATTATAGAAATGCATTGCTATTTTTTTTATTATAGAGAGGTATTCATAATGTTTTATTATAGGAATTCATCGATGTTTTATCGTAGAAATGCATTGCTAATGTTTTAATATAGGATTGCATCAATAATGCTTTATTATAGTAATGCAACAATAATGCTTTTTATAGAAATGCATCAATAATGCTTTATTATAGATATGCATCAATAATGCTTTATTATAGAATACATTGATATTTTTATTAAAGTAATGCATTGCATTGATAATCTTTTATCGTAGAAATGTATTGCTAAAGTTTACTATAGAAATTGTTTGATGAGATTTTATTATAGAAATTCATCCGTAATGTTTTATACTAGAAATGCATTGAAATTCGTAAAAGAAGGGGTGAGGTATAACTTAAGTGTTACTGACATAACAGGATTATTATATTATAATCTAAATACATTGTTAATGCTTTTTTTATGTTAAGAATTCATTGAAATTTATGAAGATAGGATTTGTGGGTGCTCTTGAACCAATACAAATATTACTGACAGGATAGGGTAATTATGTGTACAATGGAAACTTCTTGCTGATAATTTTGCAATACGAATGCTTTGAAAATCACCAGAAAGGGATTGTCAATGTTCAAGATTTAATGCAATCTTTATTGATTTACCAGGATTAGTATTAACATTATTCCTACTATACTGTGAATGGCCAACCTTTGAATACAGGAAATCCAATAATAACGCTTCTGTCATGCTATTGAATATACGAGACTCTTATACGATAAATCTGTCTTTGAAATCAGAAGAGAAATACTATCATTCTTCCGGTCAAGTCGTCAGTATTCACGTTTAATAAGGCCCAAAGTTCGTCTCCAACAGTAATATACATTTTTCAAGTGCGCTCATAAATAAGATATCTGAGAAGTATTCTCCAACTTAATCCCTTGCAGTAATAATAAATCCAAAGTCAAAATTATTCTTGTCCTATAGTGGAATCGAAAAATTACGCTTAATCAGATCAGAATTGGAACGAAAGCGATATCCTTTAATGTTTGGAACTCTTGCGTGCAAGGGAACAATTTCAGCGAACACCGGGTCATAGGATGAGAATTTCCCTGTGTGAAAGAACGATGTTTTATCAATAAATAATTTATCCCGCGTGAATCTGAAAGGGCGATGAAATTTCTAATCTATTATAGCAGTATAATTATTTGTGGGGATGTGAGTCTGAATAATAGAATCTACGGTGTCGTATATTACGATCATCGAGTATCAGTGATCTTGAGCTGAAAGACACCGTACTGCCTTCAATCAATATGGCTGATGCTAACCTCGAGGAGAGTGACTTGTTGCGCCGTCTCAGGCTAACATTTTCCGCAGACAAGTGGGATGATTATATTGAACCAGTTGCTAGTTCTGCTTCTAATAAAGTTGGTTCCTTTTGTCGTTCTAGAAATTTTTCCTTTCCAGAACCTGTCTTACAACTTTATAGGTCTACCATAACCTCCATGACTATTGCTACGAAATATGGTCTGGTGCTATTGCTATACCTTTAGAAATTCTTGATAAAATCCAAAGAAGAATCTACATTGATATTGCTCCTCACCTCGCATCACGGCTTCAGTTACTTTTCGACCGCCGTAATGTAGCTTCCATGTACGTTTTCTATAAATACTTTCATGGTAATATTTCAGTCTGGTTTTGTAAATTTTAGTTTTATTCTTTCTCCACCCACAGACAATGAATTACTAGGAGACTAGTTAGGACTTTCATAGAGACAATGCGGTATTATGGTGAATGTAGTAAGAAAGGTAAGTAAAAATGCGTAGTTTTGATGTTAGGATTATTGTTTGTATGTTTGTGTCAGTGTTTGTGGCTAGTTATGTTTAACATTAAGACAGAAGAAGACCGTCCTTTTCCCCATTCCTCATTTTGGCCTTGTGTCACATTTTGTAATTTTTACATATAAATACCACTTTCTTCGGTACCTAGACTTTAAGAATTAAAGTGCAGTACTAGATTGTCGGCAAGGTCTCATCATTTTACATTTGAAATGGCTTGATGTAACCGTAAGTTCTATGCTGAGAGTTTCTCCTATCGTACTTCTTGCTTGTGGAAATCTCTTCCATCTTCTAACTTTCCAGTTAACTTTGATCTTTAAATATTTATACGCAATATCATTCGTTATCTTCTGTCTTTCAATGTCCAAGAAAGAACCAGTCACGCATCCGTCTTGGAATTTGACCAAGAAAAAACTCTTTGGGTGCTACTACAGTATGATTTCTACCATCCATCTTTTACTTAGTATGAGATCTACCATTCATTTCTAACATTGTATATCTGCCGTCCATTTTCTAATATAGTATCATATCTACCATCCATTTTATACTACAGTATGATATCTACCATCCATTTCCTGCTATAGTATGATTTTTACCATCCATTTTCTACTGTAATTTGATATCTGCCATCCATTTTATACTATAGTATGATATCTATCGCCCATTTTCTACTGTAGTATCATATCTACCATCCATTCTCTACCATAATCTGGTATGCACCATCCATTTTATACTATAATACGATATCTACCATCCATTTTATACTATAGTATGATTTCTACTATTCATTTTCTACTATGGTATTATATTTACCAACCGTTAAAAATATAAAATAAGTTAAGGTTAAGGGTTAGGGGTTAGGGTTAGAAGCAGTGAACAGTAAACTGGTTATGTATTAAAATCATTAGCAATTTTGTATACAAAAAAAATCATCAGATAGTGATTGTAATGTTTGTAAACTGATTTGATGTCATTTAAAAAAAAAACTAAACAGATCATCGTTTTTCCTAAGCATTTTCCAGCAATAATGAGTGCATCGTCATTTAAGATAGGTCGCAAATGCTTCGGTATGTATCGTACTATAGTAGCACCATTCTTTGTTTTCAAGAAGTTAAGTCAACCATATTAAAGGAAGGAAAAACTGGAAGTGTCATGGTCGCTTATGTCCTAAAGATGCCTAAAAAGAAATTATGGACTTTGTTCATACTTCTTTGTCAAAATGGTGTCAAATATTTATATTTAGTTTTAATTATTTATTAAGCTAAGAAAATCTACGGTTCCTAATGAGGATCGAAGCTGTCATTAGTAACATTTTTGCTTCGGCACAGCGGTTTGTACCCCCTCTTTTTAGATAAGCATTCAGGGTGAAGAATTAATTTCAACTTTACCCACAGCGACGCGAATGACTCTGAATTTTTATTGTCGATAACGTCAAATCGGTAGATTTTATAAAAGAATTATTTGCTATTTTCGTATTAAGCATGTAGATTTACACCTAAATAAACCTATTCGGGAAACTGAGCGCGGAGCTTGAAGTGCAAATTACCCTCGAGTTGAAATTAGTTCTGACACCCAATCATTAAAATCACGATAAAGCCATCACTGTGGTGTTTCTCCTCACCATGGTGTAAGGATCAGCAAGATGGAGTTGTAGCTCGTGAGTAGTGAGGTTTGTCTTCACTTTGTCACTTTATTTGTTATGCTCTCACGGTTCGCACAGTTGGTACGAATCGTATTAACGTCATCTATTTTTTTCCTATACTATATACACTGTGGTGTCATAAATTTGTTTGATCAAAATATTGGGATCACATCGACTTGATTTCTTCAATGTCCAAGGAAGAACCAGTCACGCATCCGTCTTTATTAAAATTAATAGGCTGTCATTTTTACTGCGATTTTGGTGACAGATCGACAGAAGAAAGATCTCTTGCCCGCCCCCACTCTCTCTCTCTCTCTCTCTCTCTCTCTCTCTCTCTCTCTCTCTCTCTCTCTCTCTTTCTCGTGCGCCTTTAGAAGCTGTGCGATCAGGGATCTACCTGCTTCCAATATTCTATGAGTATAATTCTTGCTTTTTCAAGACACATTTGCCTTTGTATTGGGTTGGTGCATAATTATCAGGCGCTTTTGAAGGCAAGTTATTTGTGAATAAAATTTGCTGTTTTGTTTACTTTCATAATAAATAAAAAACGACTGATAATTATGCACCAACCCAGTAAATAGATAGATAGATAGATAGATAGATAGATAGATAGATAGATAGATAGATAGATAGATAGAATAAATCAGGAAACAAATAATGCAATAATATTGAATCAGGTTATCTATCTATCTATCTATCTATCTATCTATCTATCTATCTATCTATCTATCTATCTTAATTCCTTAAGAAATCTGCAGAAGATCGAGAGTAAAGTTATCCATAATTATAGATAGATATTGGGTTGGTGCGTAATTATCAGGCGTTTTTGTAGGCGAGTTATTTGTTAATAAAAATTGCTGTTTTGTTTACTTTCATAATAAATATTGTTTAAAAAAAGACCGATAATTATGCACCAACCGAATAGATAGATAGATAGATAGATAGATAGATAGATAGATAGATAGATAGATCAGGAAGCAAATAATGCAATAATATTGAAGCAGGTTATCTATCTATCTAAATTTCTGAAGAAATTTGCAGAAGATCGATAGTAAAGATATCCATAAGTATAGATATTGGGTTGGTGCGTAATTATCAGGCGTTTTTGAAAGCGAGTTATTTTTTTAATAAAAATTGCTGTTTTGTTTACTTTTTTGAATAAAAATTTTATTTTATTTTCAGGTTATAAAAATGCGTGTCGACGGTGACTACGCTCCGGAAAAAATGATTTAAAAATGTTATTTTTTAATTGTTATATTTCTTTTTCCATAATAAATATTGTGTAAAAACGCCTGATAATTATGCACCAAACTCATAGTAGGTGCTCGGCTATACATTTACTCAAACTTGTTATGTATGCTAGATTTTAAGGAAATTCAATTTATTAAGGCCACCTCGTTTATTAAGAGCATGCTGCTTGTTAAGTTGGCGCGTTACATTCTTTACCCTTAAATGATTTTCCTACCAGGACAAATGCTATCCATTCTGGCGAGTGAGGGAGAAAGCCACTCTGCGATTTGAAATATATCGATATTTAAATATTTTCTGGCAAAAATATTACTCGGGTGTGCTTCGTACAGTGCCGAGTCTTATGTTGGAAGCGAATGGAGATAGGAAGATTGTATTGCGCCAATCAAGTGTCTAGAGCATTCCTGCCTAGAAAATCATCATTCACATTCCTGACCTTTTCTTGTTTTCCAGATTATTTCCACCACGGACAAAGAACAAAGATGTTTAGGATTTAAAGAAGGTTGTGATGCTGATAATGACCAATGCGTGCATGAAGAAGAAGAAGAAGAAGAAGAAGAAGAAGAAGAAGAAGAAGAAGAAGATTAGAGAGAAAGAGAGAAAGAGAGAGAGAAAATAAGAACTAGAACATTAGGGAGAAATAGAGATGATGATGATGATGATGATGATGATGATGATGATGATGATGATGATGAAGAAAGAAGAAGAAGACGGAGAATAAGAATAAGAAGAAGATTAGAGAGAAAGAAAGATGAAAAATAGCAGCAAAAACATTAGAAAGAAATAGATGATGATGATGATGATGATGATGATGATGATGATGATGATGATGATTTGGGAGGAATAAAAAAAGAAAAAGAAAATGAACATCAGGAAAGAATGAAGAAGAAGAAGAAGAAGAAGAAGAAGAAGAAGAAGAGGGAGGTGATGATGACGATAATGAGTGGATTTTGAAAATGAGAAAAAAAGAAATAGCACCAATAAGGAATGAATAATAATAATAATAATAATAATAATAATAATAATAATAATAATAATAAGGAGAAGAAGAAGAAGAAGAAGGTTAAGATGGATAATAATAATAATAATAAGAATAAGAAGAAGAAGAAGAAGAAGAACAACAACAACAACAACAACAAGCAGTGGAAGAAAAAGAAGGTGATGATGACGATCATGATGATGAGGGAATTTTAAAATGAAGAAGAAACATTAAACCAAGAAGAAGAAGAAGAAGAAGAAAAAGCAGATGAGGGCGTATTGCAAATGAAGAATAAAAATAACTCCAGGAAGGAATGAGAAGATGAGGATGAAGGATTTTGAAAATGAAAAAGAAAAATAACACCAAAAAGGAATGAATAATTATAATAATAATAATAATAATAATAATAAGAAGAAGAAGAAGAAGAAGAAGAAGATGATGGTAATGGGGAATATTGAAAATTCGTAAGAAAAATAACACCAGAGGAGAAGAAGAAGGGCATAGAAATATTAAAATGAAAAGAAGACTTATTGATAGAATTCGCCTCCTAACGTTTTAATGATGCGACTTCAGAATAAGAAACAAGAAGACGCGGGAATGCCGATGAATGGATAACGCGTCCATATCTCTCAAGCCATTGGAAAATATATGAATAATTGATGAGCGAAATAAAGTTGCGTCATTTTTGCATTTCAAAATGAGCGCAAAAATTCATGGAGGAAAGATTCGGTGAAAAGATTCCGCCGTTTCTTACAATAAACAAAAGAATCGAATGCTGTCGAATGTTAAAGAAAGGATTTCAGGAAAGGACAAAAGAAATTATCGTAGGGGTTTTAACTAGTATCAAGTGACAACAAGTCTCTTCAATTCACAATTAGCAATATATCTATATAGTTATTTATTTTCGTCTACCGGTATGAATATTTGAGAAGTCTTATTAAAGAAATGATGCACCCTCCGGCAGGATTCGAACCTGCTTCGCCTTAGTAGAAGCTGTCCCGTAGACGAAAATAAATATACGGCTTAAAAGATATACGAAGCATCTTCTCAAATATAGCTTTCCGCTAAAAAATAGTGTTTAAAAAAATATTGTCTATCAGATTAATAAATAAAAATATCCATCTTTTTCTTTGCTGACGTTAGGATTCTGTCATTGAACAGATATGAATGTCTCGAAAATATTTGAAGAAATTTGCGCTTAAAGGCACTATTTAGCTTTGCTCGATCGCCGAGATTCTGCTGGTCTAAAGTATATCGGTTCTAACGGCCGTTTCTCATGCAAGCGAGTCGCAGGTTCGAATCTAGTCGAATTGTGCCTATTTTTCTTTAAAAAGATTTCTCGAATATTCAGGCCGGTTTACGAAAATAAGACAAATGATGCTGTTAGAGAAATAAGCGGAACGTCTACTGAAATATGAGTTTCCACTAAAAATAACTTTTAAGAAACATGATCTAACGGATTAATAAAAAATCCATAACTTCTCTAGAAATTGCTTTGTTTACGTTAGGATACGTTGCGCTTAAAGGCACTATTGCTTGATCGGCGAGATACTTCGTGGTGGACTGATCTAAAGCACTTCGTATCTAATAATATATATATATATATATATATATATATATATATATATATATATATATATATATATACCTGTGTGTGTAAAAATGCATATTTATTATTATTATTATTATTATTATTATTATTATTCCATATATACAACCTTGGGCAAATTGAACCAAACGATCAATTCTGTTATTATTTACTTTTTCGTATTTTTCCAATGAAACGTAACCTACTAAACATATTAGTACTTCGTGTGTCCATTCCACGAAGTTCTTCCTTGCAGATTGATCACAGATTCTCGATTGGACTTAAATCAGGAGATTTTCTGGTCCATTCTATAGTACTTTGATTTGTTCACTGGTAAGGCTTGCCGTTATGTTACAATTTTTGTACGCTTCCTTGGACTAATGTCCATCGCAGACAATGGCCGTAGGAGAACTAATCGACAGTCGAGACAATAGTGTCTGTGCGTGATGTGATGCAATCACGGATGCGCAATATATTTCAAGGGCAAACAAATTTCATCGTACACCCCTAAAATGGATTCATATTACTGCACACCACTGCAAATGACATAATCTGAAGGGAAAATTACACCCTGTTACTCCGGTGGGTCTAAAACTTACCGTATAATGAATGAAAGGAAACTAATGCAGTTGTTTCCATTAATTTGCACAAGGGTGTATAATCAGAACCCCAAACACCCATAGCAATAATAATTCAAAAGCAGGCATATATAAAAATAAATTACTAAAACTGCTCCTCATGACACATTGGAAAAATATGGAGACATTTAAAATAAAAAGGGACCTATGAACACAAAATGGACCTTATACATAATTTATGAAATGCGCTAGTTATACACAGAAATAAATTCAACTACAATTTGGATCTAAAAAAGGCCACAACTATCAAATGAGAAAGTAATTTATTTAGAAGGATAATTATCGGGAGTATCTCTATCGAATCTTACAAAAGTATAAATCTACACCCTGATTTATTTCCAATACCACCATTCCCGAAAGAATTACTACTTTCCCAAGACAACATACAGGACCACAAAAATGCTAAAATAACCAAAAGAAAACGGTTAAATCCATCACCTCACGTTTTGGAAGATGTCCAGTACATACGTCGATCCCAAGCCATAACGATCTGATCACAATTTAAAAGAATATTTATTTATTTGTTGAATACTTGTAGCTTACTGTCGTCTTACCGGACTTTGCATTATAGCACTTTGTGTCCACCATATGTCTTTACTAACCTTTGAACAACCGGATGAACATTCATGAACGTTCTCAAATTTAAAAGCCTTCATAAACCAATGCCATCCTTGCTCTTGTATATAAACACAAATAACAAAATAAATCCTGTATTTACCTTGATAAAATCCCTCAGTGGACGAAACGCGTCGGCTAAGAATAATTTTTCCTCTTGTCTTTTTATTCATTTTTTCCTTTATAGATACACTCTATCTGAAAATAATTTGCACAAACACAGACACACACATTTCGGTAAATCGAATCGAGTTCTCCAAGTCATTGTATGTATCTAAAAAAAGTAAAGACGCTTAAATTCACCTTCTACCCTGTCGTACACCAACGGCTTACGGGTAAAATCTCCGACCGACGCCAATTCAGGCGGGTTTCGATCATAGCTAGAGGCAACCGGACGTCTAGCCACACTGATGACCTGTGATACAGTGAAACAGTCTGTCTGTGGATGACAATATATATATATATATATACAGCATAATTAGAAGCCACGTATACTTTCTTAATATGTATATATAGAAAAAGTTGCAAAATAATAATGTTTTTTTTATGAAAGTATTTATTTATTTATTTATATATATATTAGATATTTCAGATTCACCTCAATCTTTCTTCAGAAATAACTGTTTGTTACAAATAAATTAAAATTACTGTTTGTTTACAAGTAAACTCCCCAAAATCCTTTCAGAAATACACCCTAATACCTTTTCATCCAACCCACATCAAATTACACAATCAAATAATGAAGAGAACATCTAGGAAATTTCAAAATCCCTTAAAATCATGCCACCTGGTAGACCCATAATATCAGGCATTGGTACCCTCACAGAACTTATATCTGGGTACATAGACAATATCCTAAAACCTTTATTGCCTGAAATACCTAGTTATATTAGAGGCACTACTGACTTTCTCAGTAACTTAGTCCACCATGATACAATCCTAGTAACGATGGATGTTTCGTCCCTTTATACGAACATTCGTCATGTTGAAGGAGTATCAGCTTGCTATGAGTTCCTTAGTAACAAATAATTACCTAACTACCAAATTACAGATATATGTCAATTAATAGATTTCATCTTAACAGATAATAATTTTAAATTCAACAACAAACACTATTTACAGATTAGTGGCACAGCAATGGGCACGAAAATGCCACCTAGTTATGCTAATATCTTTATGCACATTCTAGAAAGGAAGATACTAGACAATTCAGAATATAAACCATCACATTATTTCAGATATATTGATGACATTTTCTTAATATGGACTCATGGATCAGAAAAATGAAAAAACTGTTTCCCTTTCTGCAACAATTTCCGCAATACAATTAAATTTACCATGGAGCACTCACACACATCCGTCCCTTTCTTAGACGTTATGATAAAATTAAACAAACCTACACTTTCTACCAGTCTATACAACAAACCCAAAAACCAACATAAATTCCTGCACTTTAACAGCTGTCATCCCCTCAAATTAGAAAAAAATCTTTTGTATAGAGCTCATTTCTAAGAATCAAACGCATATGCTCAGACCATCTAGATTTTCTATACAACATTAATAACTTAACAAAACAATTCCTAAAATGTAAATACCCAATAAAAATACTAAAAGAAACACTAAATAAAACTATCCACATAAATCGGAACACACTTCTCACATACAAGAAAAGTAAAAAAAAACAATCGTATTCCCATGGTTTTTAACCACAATCAATATTCCCACACACTTATTCCCAATTTAAAAAAGGATTACAAGAACCTCCAGTTAGACAAAAAGATCAAAGACATTTTCGATAAACAGCCCATAAATGCAAAGAAACAATCACCTAACCTATCAGCTATCCTCACCTCTACCAAATATCTAAACAATACAAACCAATCAGGAAATTACAAATGTAAAAGTTATGATGTTCATTTGGGGTTAATAAAGACAAACGCCAAATAACACGTAACAATAAAAAGGGGTTTATTCGGTTGGTAAGTTGGTACAGAAATCGCCTGAGTAGTCTATAACTAACTCAGCCAAGAACTTCTCCGACTCTGTCTGTCTTTTGACATGCCACTATTTAACGTCTTTGTTTGTAGACAAGTTCATCTTCAAGAGGAGTGGTAGGTTTCCTACACAACAGTAACAAACCTCGTTGCTTAGTTTGCAAACACTTAATAATAGATAATGTATTTTCTGTACCCAACACCAATATCAAGATACACCCACCTCGCCTCAGCTGTGATAGCCATAACATAATCTACTATTTATTCTGCATCTTATAATGTGGACTTTTTCAAGACAAGAAACTTTTTTGCCTTAAAAAATTTCATATCGGACGAAACGCGTCAGCAAATAATAAAATTTTCCTATTGTCTTTTACATATATATATATATATATATGTGTGTGTGTGTGTGTGTGTGTGTGTGTGTGTGTGTGTGTGTGTGTGTGTGTGTGTGCGTGTGTATTTTGGCTTGAAAAAGTCCACATCGGACGAAACGCGTCGGCAACTATTACGGTTTCCCTATTAGCTTTACATTTATAAATACACACACACACACACACACACACACACATATATATATATATATATATACGGAGATGGCGTTTGTGAGTGTGCGGCTTTATTTTAATATTAAGATATTTTTGGCGCAAGGGTTATCGAAGTGGAA